GGGCCTCGCCCCGCGAGCGCCGCCGTCGAGGCCCCGCCCTCACCGGCAGAAGTTGTGCGCGCCCAGCCCCCAGCGACCCTGGGGGTCGGTGGCGCTGCTGTAGCTGTGCTGCTGCGTCTGGTCCCAGAAGAGGCAGGGGCGGCCCGCCCCGCGCGGGCCCGTGCGGTTCTGGTGGCCGCGGTAGTCGGCTCCATTCACCTGGAAGCACTCGGACAGGCCTGCGCGCGAAGGCAGGACCTGCGGCCGTCCGGACCCTCGCCCGCGTGCGCCCCCCGTCCGCCCCCGCCCGGCTGCGCGTCCGCGCCCCCGCGGGCTGCCCAGCTGCCCCCCACCTGCTGTGCCCCGTCTCCTCCTCGGGACCGGGCTTTGGGCTGGGGGCCGGGCGGGACTCACCTGGGCTGTGCAGGCTCCCCGCAGAGGCCCCGCGCGGCGGTAGCAGCGGCAGGAGGAGGAGGAGGCCCCGCAGGGCCCGTGTCCCCATCGCCCCCAAGCAGAGAGGCGTCGTCGGCGCACGACCCGCGCCGCCCCGCGGGGTCGCTGCCGGGGCTCCCGGGCGACCTGGGGGCGTTGTCCTGGGCCGGGCCGTCTCGTCCCTCTCGGGGCGGCGCTCTCGGCTGCAGCAGGGAAATGCCCCCGGGGTCTGCGCTCCCGGGTTTCTGCTCCTGGAGGCGCCCCTGTGCTCGGCCCCCACGCGGGCTCTCCCCCGGGGGTCCCTGGCCAGGGCCTGTCTCGTCTCTGCTCCTCCGAGCTGGGGGTCGTGCCTGGGCCTCACGCTCGCCCCCGCCCGCGCGCTGCGCCGCCTGTCTCCCTCGCGCAGGTCTCTCGGCGCTGGCTCCTGCCCCCCGCGCGTCCCTCCGCGGGTCCCTCCCCCGTTCCTCCTTCCTCCCCCTCCCTCCCCGGGAAGCCCCGCCCGAGACTGAGCGGAGGCAGCAGGTCCAGACGCCTCCCACGCCCGCCCCACCTTCCCCGACCCTCGGTGTCCCCGCGAGCGCCTCCCCTACCCCCGACCGGGTGGGTGCACGCTCCAGGGGAGAGTGGGGACAGGTCAGGCCGCAGGCAGAGGGCCCTGGCGGGGGAGGCGCGGGGCCCTCCGCAGGTCGCACGCCCCGGACACCCCGCGTGGCCGGTCCCGGCCGGCACCCGTGGAGGAGCGCACGCCCGCTCCGTGGGCCGGAGGTCGTGGGACACGCACCCTCCGGGAGCTCGCGCCCGCGCGCTCCCCACTCCCCGGCCGGAGGAAGAGCCAGTCCCGCTCCGCACTCGTGAGACAGGCGGGTACGGTGGACGCTGGGTCCGGACGGGCAGGGGCAGCTGGTGTCTGGGGGAGGAAGGCAGCTGCGCCCCTCGTCCCAGCCGGTCTCCTCCTCTCCTCCCCCTCCCCTCCCTAGGACCCCCAGTCCAGGCTCGCTGGAGCCTTCCCGGCGATGGAATTCCCCCGACGGCGCCCCCCC